TACATACATATATATATATGTATAGTTTCTACACCACCTCTTGTAACTTTACTGGGTCATGAAACAGCCACCTGCATAACGTTAAATAACGTTACCTTGGGGAGCATGGCACTGACTTAATGAGCTCACATCATGCATGATTAGCCAGCAGCATTCAACCCATTGTGTCACAGCTAAAGCTTCTAACATTAACGTTACTTAGCAACAACTTCACTTTTTCTTAAACTTTGTGGGCTGCTTGGTCCTCGCTAAAGTAATAATAAAAACCTGTCATCCACTCACCTCGTCTGTCAGCTCGCAGTATCGTTGTCTTCCTGTCAACTGAATTCAAGTTTTCCTTGTTCTGCTGATACATCAGATAACTTCCTGCATGTCGTTTCAAAATAAAAGCTGTCCGGTGTGTTAATAAGTTTACCATGCTGTTTGGGGCTTCTCCTATTTTTTGTCTCTTTGAAATTTTTAGTGTGACCTCATAGCTGGCTACGGCCATGATAAAGACTTGAACTGAATACACTTGAGCTGTGTTCACTGGAGTATGGCAACACCACTCAGACTCACCGAGCTATTAGGTAAGTTTATTAGTTGATTTGGGATTATGATTACATTTGCTGATGATTATTTAACCTCACCTGGGAGGTGAAGCAGCTGAGGTAGATTCAGACGACTGGAGGCTCTGTAGACAAACGCAGGCTCAGGACCTCAGTCATAATCATAATCAAGACTGTCCCTAATATTGAGGAGGATATTGATTGCTGTGGATCAATTTATTCACTTTTGTTTCTAGTGATTTCCAGGATCACATTTTAGGGTGCAGAGTCTAGAGGTAAGAACAGTTTATGTGTCGCACACACAGTCATACACAGTGTGTAGTAAATGTTTGCTGCTCCAAAGACAGGCTGCAGATGCAATAAACATAAAAGAACTATATAACTGTGTGTTAGTGGAAATGAAAGAGGGGCAGGATGAGTCCAGCCCAGCTCCTCCGACAGGGTCCAACTCTGTGGGCAGAAAGCTGAACTGGGTCACAGCTCCAGGATCTGACCTGAGGACTGGTCCAGATCCAGGATCTGACCTGAGGACTGGTCCAGATCCAGGATCTGACCTGAGGACTGGTCCAGATCCAGGAGCTGCTGAGTGTGGAACATGATGATGTGTGTTCAGCTCCATAAACAGACATGAAACAGAGCTTATATAAAGTCTTACATAAACAGTGAATCAGTCTCACAGATCAGCTCAGAGTTACAAAGCAGCTGTAACACAGTGAACAGGGATCTGACCAGGAAGTGATGGTTCTAGTGTCTCACCTGGACATACCTCTGTGTGATGTCACGTGTTGTGAGTTTGTTTGGATGAAGCCCACACACTCACACACACACACACACACACACACACACACACACACACACACACACACACACACACACTCGGCCTCTGTCACCACTCTCAGGTTATACAATATCACTGCGTTATATAAGTGAGCCACTTATCAGCCAATAGGAGCGCGGCTCAGCCGTCACGTGACGCCCTGTACAGCTATCCAAAGAAGCAACAACCTTTAGCATCTGAAGCTAACTGGCTAACGACCAAGATGGAGAACCCCACCGCGGCGGAGCTAATCTCTCCGGGGTTTTCTCGGTGCTAACGGACAGGACGGGACGAACGGACCCGGTTTGATACACTTTGTATTTTAATAGGTTGTTTTAATAATAGTTGGTGTAGTTTCGGGGCGGTGTTAGCTCGTTAACCGTCAGCTAGTTCTCGGCTCTTCGTCTCTTACATAAAAACAACGGCCGATGAGCTGCAGCTGACCCGAGCTCAGACCGGATTTATGGCTCTGTATCTCAGATCGCTTTATTTAAGCCTGGACTGTATGTGTTGTTAACTGTTTTAAAAGCTAGACTCGGCTTCTGTTGAGTTTGAACAGTATCTCAACACCGAGTTTAACGCGACAGACTAAAAGGAAATTAAGCTTCTTACTGTCTCGCTGAGCACGGAGGACTTCACCCAGCGGACTCACAAAACACTGGACATATTTTTATTAAAGCAACAAAATCTGTCAAGTTTCAGATTGTGTGTTAGAGACGTTTCCAGAGGTGTGACAGGCGGCAGGCTCCGGTCAGTGTGACCGACCTCCGGGCAGCAGAGCCGGTGCTGACCCTGCAGAGACCCTGACACAGACCATGTTCCACAGGGGACCGTTGGTGCGGGTCTGTGGCTCTCAGTGAGTCCTCACATGCTGCCCATGGCTGTCAGGGGGAGTCGGGCTCAGTCGGAGGTTTGGGTTGATCAGAAGTTAATTAACACTTTATCTTATTTTGGGCTATGATCTGAGATCAGTGCGGGGACTCAGGTCAGCTCCTGCCTGACTCTCAGTGAACCTCTTCATCATCTGTCTGAGTTAAAGAGGAAGAGGAGGATGGAGACAGGAGTCAGGTCTCACCTGGGCGAGATCTTCGTCCACCCGCTGTCCAACCCCGGAGCTGCGGGGATCTGTCCCGAGATGCTGGAGGTGGCGGAGGAGGCGAGCCGGGCCGGAGACTTCAGCCTGGCGGTGGAGATCTACAGCTCCCAGCTGTCAGACCTCCAGCAGCCGGACCGGGGGCTGTGTCTGAGGAAGGCCGACTCTCTGGCCCGAGCAGGCCGGGTAGCTGAGGCTCTGGACTCGTACTGCACAGCGGCCAGCCTGGGCAAACTGAGGCCGGAGGAGCTGTCCCTGCTGGTGGACACCATCGGCCGGACCCTCCGGGAGAAGGACCTGGGCATCACCGGGACGGTAAACGGGCACGGTAAAGGCTGCAGCAGCAGCAGTGGGGAGGACGGAGGGGACAGTGATGGGGAGTGTGGAGATGATGAAGCTCTGGACTTGTTTTCATGTCGCCTCTGTAAGTGTCTGCTCCATGAGCCCACCACCGTGGAGTGTGGACACACTTTCTGCAGGCGGTGTTTGGAGGGAGACTCGGTCAGAGAGTGTGTCCGCTGCAGACACAAGTTCAGCAGGAAGGATGGACTCAGGTTGGATGTTGTTCTCAGCGGGCTGCTGGACAAACTGTTTGATACGGAGAGCAGAGCCCGTAGACTGTGGACCGAGGGAGAGGCCCTGTGGAAGATCCAGAAGCTCCCTGAGGCCCTGGAGAAATATGATGCAGCAGTGGACCTGGGTAAGAACACACATGTGATCACTCAAACATCCGCCATGTTTTCATTTCTTATTAAAATGGGACAAGTTTTCATCCAAACTACAGAATTCATCTCAGCTGACCTACTTTTTGTTAGTGTAGTTCCCCGGTGTCACCGGTGAGTGGCGCCAGTCCCACCTATCCAAACTGCACTGAGGTCAGACGTTACATGACGCACGAGACCGTGTTACCTAAGCAGCACACTTATTGATCCGGAGCTTTTCAACGACACATCTACACCATGTTCTGTGTGTCTGATCTGCAGAGCTGTGCAATCATCAGCAGGTACAGGACAGATGCATGTGGTGTTATTCTGCCCCCGTTAACCCTCTGAAACCTGCACAGGGCCAGGGCTCGCCCAAACACAGGGGGTCATCAGCAACCAAAGAAGAAGTGACCCAAATAATCAGCAAGACATTAGTATAAATAAAACATTGGCTTTAAAAAAGGAGAAATAAGGAAGTGACCTGGGAAAGAGCTTAAAATTATAATAATGATATAACATGATTTTAAATATATAATAATGATGATTAGAAATATAGTTTCTCCGCAGCTTTGTAAAAATATTTTTCTAAATCTATTATATTTTGAAGTTTATGTAACTTTTTTATTTTTTTTTATCAAGGTGCTCATTGTTTCTTTGCTTCTCTGAGCTCACAGGTTTGAATACTTACAGCACAAGAAAAGTGACGTTGCCCCAGATTTCAAAGGGTTGAAACCATAATATATTGTCTTTATATACAAACTGGTTCTAAACTGCATGAAGACATTTGTTAGGTGGGACAGAGACCCAGTTGGACTTCAGCCTGAACCCCTCCTGTCACTCTCAGTGTTTCATAAGCATGTAGTTGACATGTGTTAGATAACACACAGGGTGAAGACATGTTTATAACGACCTGTTGCTGTACGACATCATCAGAACAACAACCTACATTCCTTCACTTTCTCTGTGGGATTGTTGTGACTTGAAGCATCGTCCTGAAGCAGCGGAGCCAGAACACAGTATGTTCTGTTCCCTCATGTTGGCATATTACATAAAGAATGCCAGCATGTTTCATTAATCGAGGGCCAGGGCTGCTCTCATGTTGCTCACTTTGAATCCCCACAGAAAGCCAAAGCGACCTCTCCACCTCTGGCCTACATATCAGAGCCACATTTAAAATCAATTTCCTGTGCTCCTTGAATAGCTCAACGACTCAAACAAGGCACAACTGGACCTGAAAGCAGAAGGATTAGATTCTGGTCTCATTTTGTGTTCAGTGGCACGTTTACAGATATTTCTGTGCCCGGATCAATATTGATTCATGCCTTCTGTCTCTGGGTGACTCTGGGAGGACACAGTATCTTCACAGCTTTGTCTCTGCCAATCAGTGTTTCCCAACAAATGCAGCAGGAGGCCATGTGGTGTGTCTGTGATGTAGGATGAGCAAAACAGGCTCATGGTGTCAGCACAAATACCGCTGATATCCAACCTGCGCCATTTAGGCAGTTTCACCTGTGCCACGTGTCACATGTTACACACTGCATGCACACAATGACACTGATATAATAACGGGCAGTGAGGCACGCTCTGCAGGGTAACACAACCAAGGCAGGAATAATTAATACAGTGATTTAATATGAAATAAACCTGCTCAGGAGGGAGAGGAGACGATGAAGGTCAGACTGAAACAGGAGGAAAGATGGTGAAATATAACTGCATATCCAGTTTCCTCTGGTGTTACAGCCCATGATGGATCTATGACTCCTCATGTCTTGTATTTTGTGTGTGTGAACATGTAGGTTATCCACCTTCTGTTAACGCACCTCCAGCTTGAGGAGCCACATTCCCCGTCCTGCTGTAGTTGACCTAATGCAGTGTCACAGTCCTGTCACAGTGTTCAATTTAAACAATAGTATTAACAAATATATAGTTAAATAAGCAGGAATTATTAACAAACATAAACGTAAATAAGTATATA